CCCCGCCCGTGGCGGCTGTTTTGCCTGCCACTCCTTGCTGAGGGCGCCCTTCCTCGCACGGGCATTGCGGTCGTGGGGAGCTGCTGCAGGCAGGGCGTAACGGGGCTCATCTAGCTCAGCTCAGCGCAGCCGCGGCGCCCGGCCTGCGCCTCCTGAGAGTGGCTCTGAGCAAGTGGGCGCCCACGCAACCCGGCCTCGTGGGCTGGCACCTTCCAGGGAAGCCTTGGAGCAGGTCCTGCTTGGAGCAGGAAATGCGCCAAGGATGGATGGCAGACGCTCAGCACGGACTTATGGGGCCTGGACTGGGCCGTGCTTGGACGTGAGGGGCTGCAGTGAAGCGGTGCCGGTGCCTCGCTCGGCGCCACTCACGCGCAGCCCTGAGGTCCATTTCTTGTCCGTGGGGGAGGTGCGTGGTGAGGAACAAGCCCAAGGGTCTCAGCAGCTCCTTCCTGACATGGCCAAGCTGCGAGGTTTTCAGTGATGAGAAACATGCGTAGGATTCTGCAGCTCCTAGGATGTCTGTTCTGTATGTGGGGGTGGAAGGAACAGAGGGACACGCACAGCAATTAAGAGTGAAAAACAGCTTTATTTTGCTTAAAAGCAAACTTAAAGACATTTCATGAACTGACACTTTTAATTTTAATTCGTATAAATCATTCTAGAAGGCAATAACCTTTTCTTTATTGCTAGGAGGTTAACCACAGCCAGAGGCAGCCCTTGTTTAAATGCACAGGAATTAGCTTTTGGGTGATGATGAGGAGGGTGGTGGCTTCACCTACTGCTCAGGTAACCTGAAGGTGGCAAGTCCCTCTGGAGCCAGGATGACTTCAACAGACTGGACTGAAGAGAGCCTGTGCCCTCAAAACTGTGTTACACATCATGGACAAGGAAGAGCAATATGTGATATTTAAGAGTGTGAATGGTCCTCACAAGTGTGAAGGAGCCTGGCTAGACTGGTGGTTACTGCGAGGTTATGGTGCACTGTCAGAAATTATCCAGAGATGTTGGTGGAAGGGGCTTCCATGC